CTCTCTGGTGCCGTACGGCACTGTGAGCGGGCTCGTCCCGTTCCCGACTAATCTAACATCCTCACCGGCGTGGGTGTATGTGGTGAAGTCCTTCCGTCTCTGGCCGTCGTCTGTGCAAGCGTCGATTTTGTTTGCGAGTTGAGATGGATTAGAGTGGTGGTTCCTTTAGTGACTGAAACACCGATTGAAACATCTCTTCGCCGTATGGAAGAGCCTCCCCCGACTCCGGCCGCACCCTGACGGTGAGGGCCTCAAACTCGCTTTTGGCCATCTACTTCAAGGACTTCTAGGTGTGCGCCGTCTGATATAGAGGTTTCGGGATCTCAGACCTTGTTGTGGCAACGACTTCATCGTACTCCACTGGGTCAAGATTAGATGGTCTTGCTATTGAGTGATGCATTAATTTGGCTCCTCGTCCCACCTTTGTTGTTGATATGGCGTCGCTTGTTAGTTTGGATTTGATTTGCAGGTTTCATCGAGTGGGGTAGTGGAGATTTTTTCGTATTCTTAGATCTTTGAGTCACACTTTGTGGTTGGAGGAGGTAGTAAGACCCAGGAGGTGGTGATGCTGCCCCTTTCTCTATAGGCTTAGAGGATGAGCACGGTTGAGTTAGTTGAGCGCTATTAAGCACCCGTGGTGTGTGTTGTCCTGTCTTTTGCAGGAACTTTTTTCATAACCACTCTGTTTTTCATCTTGTGTGTTTCAGGTGGATGTGAAACAGAGTATAGAAGACTGAGAGAAAGATTTAATCAACTTTCCATTGAAGAACGCGGGAAACTCGATGAAGAGTTTTTAACATTAACAGCTCCAAGATACGGACACCTAGTGTAACAAGAAATTTTTACCTTATTAAAAAAAAAATTGTTAGAAAAGGAATTGTCAGATAAGTACAAAACTAAAAGGAATAAATAAAAATTTAGTATAAAAAAAGGAATAAGTACATTTTATATATTTTTCTATGCATATTAAGGAACAAATAAAGAAGAATCAAAATCGAATCAATCCATAACCCTTCTCATAGCGTGAGCTTACCCTTCTCATAACATGAGCTTTCTATTATTAATCAGGACAAGCCATTATCTATCGAGTTAATGTTTGCAGTTTTCTATTGATATAATTGTGATTTCTTCTTCTCTGGTGAGTTATTGATATTTGTTTCTTTAAGTTTATGTTTCTATGGTTTCTTGTCAAAACAAAACCTAACAATACTTCTTTACAGATAATTTAATGTCTTCTTCTTCTGATATTAAAATTTTAAGAAGATGAATGTATGAAAGAATCGACCATACAACTAATCAAATCTCAGAAGAATTTTACCAAGAAATAAAGAGCTTTATACAATTTGCAAAGCATCAACAACTTTTTATTGAAAGTGAAAAGCTTTTCTGTCCTTGTTCGAAGTGCGAGAATGGAAAATTATTACAAGAAGAGATTGTTTCTAAACATCTACATAATATAGGATTTATGCCCAATTATTGGGTTTGGATTTCTCATGGAGAAGATTATGATATTCTGAGTGATTGTGCTGAGGTTCTAGATGATTCTACAGATGCTGGTGAAGATATTTTGCAAACTGAGGCTAATACAGAACCCGTAAATCCTTATGAGACTATGGTTTCTGATGCTTTTCCTCATATGGAAGAATATCCAAATGCTGAGGCAACATTTTTTTATGACATATTAGATGCTGTAAAGAATCCAATATGTAATGGATGTAAAGAAGGTCTTTCACAACTCTCATTAGCACCTCGACTCATGAGTTTGAAGACAGATTATAATCTGCCACAAAATTGTATGGATTCTATTTCTCAAATGATGCAAGATTATTTACCTCAAGGAAACAATTAGATGATTTCATACTATGATATAAAGAAGCTTATGCGGTTGTTGGGTCTGCCTTATCAAAGAAATTATGTTTGTCGAGATAATTACATGATATTTTGGAAAGATGATACAGATAAGGATATCTGCAAATTTTTTGAGAAAGATAGATTTCGGCCTACCCAAAAGGATGGACAAAAAAAGGTTGCATATCAACAAATCTTTTATTTGCCGATATCTAACAGATTACAAAGACTATTTCAGTCCACTAAGACTGCAAAACATATGAGATGGCATGCAGAACACACATCGAATTCTGGAGAAATGTGTCATCCCTCAGATGGAGAAGCATGGAAACATTTTAATAAAGTATTCCCTGCTTTTGCTGATGAACCAAGAAACGTGTACCTTGGATTATGCACATACGGATTCAGTCCATTTGGTATGTCTTGACACAACTATTCTTTGTGGCCTGTTATCATGACTCCTTATAATCTACCACCAGATATGTGCATGAAACAAGAACTTATGTTTCTAACAATTCTTGTTCCGGGTCCAAATCATTCGAAGAGAAGTCTGGATATGTTTTCTTCAACCCTTGATAGAAGAGTTAAAGGATTTGTGGATTAATGGTGTTTACACATATGATTTTTTTACCAAGCAAAACTTTCAGTTACAGGCAGTACTTATGTGGACAATTAGTGACTTTCCTGCTTATAGTATGCTTTCTGGATGGGCAACTCATGGTCGACTAGCATGTCCTAATTGTGTGGATCAGACCGATGCATTTCAGTTGAAAAATAGTAGAAAAATAAGTTGGTTTGATTGTCATTGACGTTTTTTACCGACTGATCATAGCTATAGGCGGAACAAGAAGAACTTCAAAAGAGGAAGGATTGTTGTCGATGGTCCACCAGAAATACTTACAAGCGAGGAAATCTGGAATGAAGTCAGTTAGTTTCCAAAAACAGTTGGTTATGGAGGAAATCATGGGAAATTAAAAGGATATGGTGAAACTCACAATTGGCATAAGCAGAGTACATTTTGGGAGCTACCATATTGGAAAGACCATAAACTTCGTCATAATTTTGATGTGATGCATATCAAAAAAACTTTCTCGATAACATCATCAATACTTTGTTGCAATGTGCAAGGGAAGACGAAAGATAAGATCCAATCAAGACTTGATTTGGTTTAGTATTGTAATCGCAAAGAGCTGCATTTAACAGCTGATGGAAAGGCACCAGTCCCCATTTTTAGATTACAAGGCGATGCAAAAACAACTTTTCTAAGATGGCTCGAAAAAGATGTTAAATCCTCTGATGGATATGCATCAAGTTTATCCAAATGTGTTGATTTATCAAGTGGGAAATTAACAGGAATGAAAAGTCATGATTGTCATGTTTTAATGCAACGACCACTTCCAATTGCATTTGCCGAGCTGATGGATAAATCTGTTCATGAAGCACTATCAAGTAAGTATTTTCTCTATTCAAATTTAAAATTACTTCTAAAAATAAAATTTGAGTGCATAATCTAAATTTTAACTTCTTTTGTTTATAGGTGTTAGTTTATTTTTCTGTGATATTTGCGCAAAAACTTTACACAAAGACAATCTTGCACTATTGGAGAAGAACATTAGTGTGGTTCTTTGTAATCTGTCAAAGATATGCCCTCCCTCGTTTTCGATGTTATGGAACATTTAACCATTCATATAGCACAAGAAGCTAGACTTGGAGGACCTGTGGTGTTTAGATGGATGTATGTTTTCGAACGACAAATGGGACATCTGAAAAAAATTAAATAATAAATTATAAGTTGAAGGTTCTATCGTTGAAAAATATGTCAACGAAGAAATTTATACTTTTGGTACTTATTAATTTGAGCCACATATCAAGACAAAAATCCGGAGAGAAGATCGGCACTACGATGGGTGTAGTCAGGTAGATTCAAACCAGAACGGTGAGTGCCAGATATTTTTAATCAGCAAGGAAGAGGAAGTGGTATAGAAAAAGAAATATGGCTTCAAGATAAAGACTACCTCATCGCGCATACATATGCTCTACTGAATTCCGAACAAGTAAGGCCCTATGAAAGGTAAGTATAGTATTATAAAAAAAACATATATTAATTTATATTTCCATAAACTTTGATAGAGTAACACATCTTTAAGTTTTATGATTTTTTTGTAGGTTATTGGATGAGAGTATGACCGCTTCATATCCTTGAATAAGTGAAAATGATCTAAATCAGCTTAAAGCAAAAGAATTTGTAAAGTGGTTAGAAAAGCATGTAAGAATTTATAAAAATTCAGTACTCTTATATTTTTCATAATTTAATTTATATTAATCTATTTTCTGTCGATAATATTAGGTGGAAATAATATTAATACTCCTTGGTTACAGACTCTTGCACACGGTCCTATGACAAAAGTTACTTGTTGGACAGTATACTTTTGTCGGGATATATATTTCACACATATGACCATGGAAAAGATAAGACCAGTGCCAATTATGGAGTTTGTATTAAAGACATAACATCTCAAGGATCAAGCAAAGAATCTGATTTCTATGGAGTATTAGAAGAGATTTTTGAGCTACATTATCCAGGACGGGTTCATCTTAAAGTTGTACTATTTAAATGTGATTGGTATGATTCAACCATTGGGGAAGGTATAGGGGTGAACAAGTCTGGGATTATTGATGTTCATACTGGCAAGCGTTATGGAACATATGATCCATTTATTTTAGCTTCACAAGCATATTAAATTTGTTATGTTTCGTATCCACGAATAACTCAGAAGAGAGATTGTCATTGGAAAGCAGCTATCGTGATTCAACCAAGGGGTAAAATATTGATGAATCAAAATTTTGACTCCTCTGCAATGCAACATAGTGATGATAATTCGGCTGTTTCTACTAATCTACTACAAGTCGAAACATTAGTTAATTTACATGGTCAAACTGAAAATCTTTAAGATGTAGAAGAAGAAGAAGCAGGATTAAGATCAGATGCTGAGGATGAAAAAAATGATTACGAGTTAACAGGTGAAGAATCTGACTAAATTTGGTGTCATAGTTTTATTTTTATATGATAAACAGAGTCTTATGGTTTTGGATTAAAGTGACAGAGCTTTATGGTATTGGAATTGAAATTTACACAAAGCATCCAACATCCCTCAAAGTTGTGCATGCTCAATCTTCTTGTTCTCTTTATTGATCCCTAGCTCACTTACTTTCCTTGCCCCTTGTTTACCTGTAATAGGACATATATTTCATTAAGTGTGTTCTTATTTTCAGTTTTTAATTTCCAAAGGTATGACTCTTAATTCACAAATAAGGTTCAATGTCTTACCGGTATCGGTGTTATGAGTCGCTAGAATAGCGGGAATACCGGATCCATTCGAGGCTTTCTCCATAAAGAAAATCATACATATATTGTAGCAAGCAGGTCTCTCTTGAATTGTGTTGTGGACCAGTGACTTGTTACCCAAGGAATCTGCTAACTTACATTCACTAGACATGTAAGTACCTCTGACTAATTAAACTTAATGGGGACTTTCATTTTCTCGAATTCTCGTAACGCCAAGTGCAATCTCTCTCACCTGCATTTTTCAGATAAGCTTGAATCGTGTTGTGCACTTTTATGTGAGTTTGATAAAGAAAAATTTACTGCAACTGGTTCAATCTTATCCTGAGGATTTTAATTTTGTGGAGTGCATATCACTTAAGAAGCAACTTGGCATTTATTATTAACTAGATTTCGACCCGCACAACCGTGCGGGTATTTTAGTACAAAAATATTTGAAATTATATAATAAAATTTATCTATAAATAAGTATAATTTGATCATGTATGCTATCCAATTTTATAATAATTTTATGTGACTTATTTTTGTAACAAATTTTAAAAACAATATTATGTAAGATTACTAATTTATATTTTTTTTTATATCTAAATTTTTGAAATATATGTAAAAATTAATTAAGTTGGACTTACATAATACATAAACAAAATTTTAGGATATTGTTAAAAGTATTTTACATAATTTTATTTTTTTGTTTATAAATTAAAAATGAATTAAAAATTTAATTATATTTTCTGATAATTTAAATTTTAATCAAATAATTTTTTGAAACTATATCTTGAAAAAGATTCTAAAAGATTTTTAGAAGATTTTGTTACAATTTTATTAAAACTATTTATTTATTTTTCAAACAAAGATTAAAGATATGAAAATATATTATAATGTTATGTAAAATTTTATAAAACTCTAAAAATGGTATATCACACATGAAGTGAGTCATAACTTCTCTTTTAATATTCCCGTTCTTGAAAATCCGTACTTTTCCAAACCCAGAAAACAGATGGAATTCTGGGATTACTCCTGTGAGTAAATACTTTTATGCAAACTTCTTCCGCTTGATTGACACTATATTCTATTCTCGTAAGATGATACACACTGGCTAAGAGGCCACCTGGTGCCACATCAGTCCACAGAGACAAAATGTAGGACTGGTGCCAACAGTTAATCACGGAAGAAAGGAGGCTCAGCGGGAAGAGGACTGTACCATAGAAGCAAGGAGGTCAACCTCTAATAGTGGACAAATTAGCGTATTACCAAATCACGCGCCAATTGCCACAGCTGTTGATATAGGTATTTTGAAAATACGCCGTAATAACCAATGGTTAACAATGGCTCTGATGGGCGGTTTTGCTAGAATAGGCAATAATGAAATTACTATTTTAGTAAATGATGCAGAATCCAGTCAAGAACTGGAGCCTCACAATCACTAGCCAATATGCTTTTCTTGCATGCCTTTCTTCGTTCATGGTTCGATATTCTCGTGTCCTAGGCGTAGAGGAACAACACCAATCCATCCCGAACTTGGTGGTTAAACTCTACTGCGGTGACGACGCCAGGATGATGCAGAATCCAGTCAAGAATTGGAGCCTCACAATCACTAGCCAATATGCTTTTCTCGCATGCCTTTCTTCGTTCATGGTTCGATATTCTGGTGTCCTAGGCGTAGAGGAACAACACCAATCCATCCCGAACTTGGTGGTTAAACTCTACTGCGGTGACGATACTGTAGGGGAGGTCCTGGGGAAAAATAGCTCGACGCCAGGATGANTCCAGTCAAGAATTGGAGCCTCACAATCACTAGCCAATATGCTTTTCTCGCATGCCTTTCTTCGTTCATGGTTCGATATTCTGGTGTCCTAGGCGTAGAGGAACAACACCAATCCATCCCGAACTTGGTGGTTAAACTCTACTGCGGTGACGATACTGTAGGGGAGGTCCTGGGGAAAAATAGCTCGACGCCAGGATGATGAAAAGAGACCTTTTGGAGACTTATCGCAGGTTGTTATAAGTGAATTTCCAAGTTGTTGCTGTAATTGTTGCGATGTCTTTATAAGTGAAGATCGTCAAGATATTATTATGAAATCACATCAATGATAAATAACTGCCTTATTTCTTTTATTAGAAAAACTAGGTGTTTTACCCGCACATGCGGGCATGATTATTTTAGAAAACTATTTTTTTTTAATGTACAAAACTTAATTTCAAATTTATTAATATTTAATTATATATTTTTTATTTTCTATTTTTTATGATTGAAAATATAATACCGATAATAACACAACATATTATTTAGAAATTATCTTTTAACTATAGTTGTTATGTATATAGATATTGTGTTAATTTTAATTATATAAGTATATTATATACAATTATTCATTAAGCGGATTACAACTTCAGAAAAACGGAATGCAATGAACTTACATTTTCTTGTTAAGCACTATAAAATATACTTATATAAAATATAAAAAACCTTATGTTTTAATTGAAAACACGAGAAAATGTACCTCTTGATAAAATTACTTTTCCCAACATTTAGTTAGTTTAAATTTTAGAAAATTTTAAATGTCGGTTTATTTGAAGATATAAAATTTAGCAGAAAATAATAGTTCGTAACATTAATTTTCATGTAAAAATAGTTTATTTTTTATTAAGAGTATAAACAACATCAACCGGTCTAACTTTTAATATGAGAGCTCAAAAATTAATTCAAAATTAGCATAATATGTTATTACTTACAGTTTCAAAAAAATAACCAAAAATCAAATTAAATAAATTACAACGCTCACATATCAAAAATATTTTTAAGAATATAATCAATTAAATGTTTTTGTTTGATTCTATTTAGTTATAAATTTATAAATTTTAAATTTTGTAATAGAAAATATAGTTTCAAGATAACAACATAATACATAAGAATTATTTTTTTTCTAAAATTAAAATATTATTAATAGAAATTTGTTTTAGTTATATAATAAAGCATATATAAAATTATTAAAACATTACAACGCTCACATATCAAGAATATTTAAAAAATATAATCACATAAATGTTTTTTTATTTCTATTTAATTATAATTTTGTATATTTTAATTTATAGATTAGAAAATATAGTTTCAAGATAACAATATAAAACATAAGAATTAACTTATTTCCTGAAATTAAAATATTATTAATGGAAATTTGTTTTAGTTATATAATAAATTATATATAAAATTATTAAAAACATTACAACGTTCACATATCAAAAATATTCTTAAAACTATAATCAAATAAATGTTTTTGTTTGATTTCTATTTAGTATAGATAATTTTTATATTTTAAAATTTATAATAGAAAATATAGTTTCAAGATAACAACACAAAACATAAGAATTATCTTATTTTCTGAAATTAAAATATTATTAATCGAAATATGTTTTAGTTATATGATAAATTATATATAAAATTATTAAAAACATGACAATAAAAAAATTTACCTAAAATCACATAGAAAATACATTAAAATTATCTTGTTTTACTTCATAAAATATAATATAATTAATAAAATTTAGTTTTAAATATAATAAATTCTATATATAATTAAAATATTACAAATCAGTAAAAATTATCTAAAATCATATAAAAGTAGATAAATGAGTAAATTATAATATTATTCATATAAATTCGTTTTTATATATAATAAATTATAGATGAAATTATTAAACATATGACACATAAGCAATATTAGCTAAAATTATGGAGCATGTGACAAATCAGCAAAATCACTTCATAAAATATATATATGAAATTATTAAAAATATGACACATAAACAATATTAGCTAAAATCATGGAGCATGTGACAAATCAACAAATTTACTTCTTATATAATAGTATAGATATATTAGAAGATATAACAGAAGAAACTATGATATTTTGTAAATAATAGCTGAGACAAAGATGTATGTAGGTGTAGGGATGAAGAGTTAACGTGAGAGATATAATTATTTGACTTCTTGTTGTTCCATTACAAAGGAAATGGCTTGGGTAGATGCTATTTTTTTTTTTTTTTGACAACGAACGGCTGATCTATTACTCAAGCTTGAGGTGGTCTGGGAATCCAGACCGGAATAGAACAACCTACAAACACCAATTCTCGATAAAAGGATCGAGCAGTCTTAGCTAGTGAATCGGAAAAACCATTATGAGCCCTAGGCACATGAACAATTCTAAATGCAGGAATGCAGATCTGCAGGGTAGCGATCTTTTCCAATTCCGTTGAGAATCTTGGCCATTCCTGTGGTTTCCTTAGCATCGATATCACCTCCTTACAATCCGTCCCAAAGCTCTGACATGGCGAATGTTGAAGCATGTTCTCCATTGCCCACCGCAGTGCTTCCAGCTCTGAATGCAAAGCAGACTCCACTCTATCAAAGTTACGCAATCCCATCAGCTGATCTTTCCCCATACTATCCTTCCATATCCAGCCACTCCCGCTATATTGAGCTGTGGAGGTCCAGGAACCATCCACCAGATAGATATCCCCCAAACTCATGATCTGGTTACCATCATCCATGTCGATCTGAGAAGGTAAGGACGACTGTTCATTAGCTCGATACCAGGCAAGGCATTCACTCTCTGCATATCGTGCTGTCTCCAGTGGGTCTCTATCAATTCCTTTGAACAATTTGTCATTCCGCGCCTTCCAAATATACCAAATTAGCCAAGGATAAGGATCCGTGTCTACTGCCGGTCCATCTAAGGCATCCTTCCTCCAAAAGAGATAATCCATGTTCGCATATGTGCTCTGCAATGGAAATAAAGACGGTCTGGTGGGAAGAGACGACAACACCCAGACTTGCTTTGCAGGAGGGCACAGGAAAATGGCATGTGTAATCGATTCCTCCGGTTTACCACAACGTGGGCAATAGTTATCACACCGCATATGGCGATAGTTTAAGATGCTCGTAACAGCCAACTGACTTGCTATTATCTGCCACATAAGATGACACATTTTTTGTGGAGCTTGCACCTTCCAAACTTGCGCTTGTAATTTAGTGATACTAGGTTCACTAACTATAGACACTTCCTCTCTCTTTAAAATATTCCGTGCCACCCAATATCCAGTCGGCAAAGATGATAAATAGATAATCATCTTATTTTTCAACATTATCTTACAACA